GAAATAGAGTAGATCAGTAGTATCAGCAGACCCTACTAAACTACTCTACTTCGAGTTTGGGCTCCAATGATAGGCGCCAGAGTCCTAGTTGAGAATCACCACGCACTTCGCCGCGCAATTTGCCGCGCGCATCCTCGGACAAACGTAAGTACCCATACCCATGTATGTATGTGTCTTTGACTATGAACCGGTATGTGACGACCGTAGATAATTGATAAGAGCAACGGATAACAACTGATATGAGGTTATAGGAAGCCAGAGTCTTTTTGTTTGTTGCGCTCTTCATATGTCAACGGTGAAACCCTGACACTTGGTAAATGAAGGGGATTGTGGCGGGTTCGCAAGTGATTGGCGATTTTAGTGGTGATATAGGCTGCGACTGAATGCACGTAGCGGATGAGAGAAAACGATTATGAAAGCTGATAAGAAATTTCAGGAGGCTATCAGTTTCGAGTCCCTTTGGTTCTTACAGTGTGGCCTCGACTCATTATTATTTTACGAAAAAACGAGAACACTAGACGGTAGAGAAGCTCACTCACCTGTCGATCGTCGTCCCGTTGATCATCGATTCCCTCGAGCGGGCGCCAGTAATGTCTCCATTCGTCCCTGTCACGTGCCAGGGCGGTCCAATGAATCGCTCTCGCTTCAGGGACACGAAGTCTAACATTCCTTTCGTTCAGAGCTTTCGTGAAGAGGTCTGACCATCTCGTTGGCGGCCGTTCTGGAGTTCGTTTAATGTCCCGAAACATCCAGTCAGTAACCGCCCTGGTCCAACGGTCATCACTATCGCATAACGTGTCCGGCCCACCTGATCTTCGGTTTCTGGCGTAATCAACGGCATCCCTGATCTTCGTTCGATGACGGAGCTCGCAACTCCGGATTCCCTTCTGCACTTGCGTGTATAGGGAAATTCAAAACATCGCCTCTCCAAAGCACGTTGAGTAACACTGACAGCATGCTCATCCTGCGTTCGTAGAGTCCAAGGTCCGAGGCGTAAGTCAAAGCAGGAAGGACTGCAGAGACAAGAAGGTGAGTGCGGAGCCCGATGTTCTTTGTCTTCATCACCACTCCCTCAATATTCTCAAATGCTCCCCATGCGACGCGTTTCCTTCTGCATAGCTCCGGAGAGAGGTCGTTCCACGTCACACGAAACATTCTCAGATTCTTTATAACGCTCTATCCAGGCCGTTTTCCTACTTCATAGCTCCACATATGGTATACGAGGGAGCCACAGAGTTATCCTAGAGGGATCTCTCATAGGCCATTCTGGTCGTGAATTGTACCTTTAAGACTTCCAATGAATCATTCATACAACTTCGTCAAACTCCTTTCACCCATAGGGTGTCAGCTTGCATGACTGCATTTGTGAGGTTTTTCCATCAAGTTGCGGCATACGGATGTTGGATGGAGTTCAGTGATTTCTTTGTGCACGTGCTGAAACAATACCCACATCAGCATTCCGTTTCTTATGGCTGGTGGGACCTACTTGATTATGCGACACTCTTTCCTACTCTATCCTGGACTTCAAACCCTTCTCGTCTCACGTTCAAGCACCTTCATGCTTCAATCTATAGAGCGCGTCTAGTTCTTCAAATGATGAAACTCAAAATTCCATGCCTACTTTCGGGAGGAGGTTCAACTTTCTAGAAAACCATTGTGGGAATAAAATAGGTGTTGGAACGCTCAGCACACTCTGACCATCCAACTACATATTCTTGAGAGCTGAGCCATATTTTCCCTCTCATTTGTTTCCAGTTATTTGCAAGTCGCAGTCTCACAAATCGAAGCAGCTTCACTGTCTCCGTTAATGAGAACAATATCTTCAAATTCGGGAAACCCATAGCTTCAGTTGGAGTACCATTACAATCATGTGAGAGTTCCACAAAGAGCGAGTAGAGTTGCCACCATAACTTTTACACAGTAATGTACCAGTTGGGATCTTAATGAGGTACCGTAGCTCCTATCTAGTCAATTTTTATGAATGGGGAGGAGATACCAAGAGGTAAGGGTGTTAAGGTATGACACCCTGATGTGTTCCAAATGTGCGTTTACATTTCATAGTCGCTTATTACTGCAACACAAGAAGCTATAAGTGTAAATGGAATAGTAGCAGCGCTCACAGCGCTTTGGGAAACAATATGACAAAAAGTAAACTAGGTTATCATAAGTGTTGAACTAGTTGTAACTGCAGCAGAGATCTCAGCAAACATCCCGCACTCATAACAAAATGATGACGGCCGGGTGTTTCTACAGACGAACAGTTGGGATTTCTAACAATCAGTGGAAGTTCTTTTTTCGCCTTTTACGCTACGCCATCACTTTAGGAATCTCCATATCGGTTGTGCTTAATTATGCATAACTATAATTTTTTATCAGATAATCGCATCATCAACTCATATCAGTGTTTTACCTACCGACAATGTTCCAAATAAAACCACCACTAAAAGTCCGAGAAATAAGAGATTGGGTGAATCAGTATTTTGAACATTAGTTTTCTGAATATCACCGAGAGCACATTTGAAACTTGATATTTCGACCATCTACGAGGAGAGAGGATGTGGAGCTGTGATCAGCTTTAGACCGACTTGTCTCGGCCTCATCTTCCAGCAGTGTAAACACTATAACAATTTCAGAATGAAATCAAATTAAATGAAGCTCCCACTCAGAAGCCGACAAGATTGGAACGAGCAAAAGCAGCCATCGAAGTGATGGAAGTAAGCTAGGTTCAATATTCATTTAAGGAAGGCCCCGCAATGGAGACATCAATAATGAAAGAAAGTAATCCAGCCTACAGGGTATTTAGTGATCGTAGCGTTATACATAGTTACTTTTCTGTCATTGATGCCTTGATAAGTCCACTTACTTTTCCACTACATATCATTCGGATGATCGAAAAAATTCAGTTGAATGTTGTGGTTCAAGAGTGTAGGGAAAAGAGTCTGGTGAATTAACTACAATTACTGTCTTCTCATCTTATGTAACTAGCAACTTCTACCGTTGACTGTAATTCCGTAGTTGCTCTCGCAGAATCACAATTGCTCAAGTCAGCGGCGTCATAATGAAATTCAAGCATGGAATCGCTGCAAAAAAACTCTATCGTGCAACCAGTTCACCAAATAATCTGTCGTAGAGCGTGACTTTACTATTTACAGGGTCTACAAACTTTTGACGGTAATCTGGCTGAGATATATGATCCACATTGGTCGTAGCTGCATAGATATTAGTGGGAATTAGGGGGCAAAACTATAAATCAGTGGGTGACAGGATAGCCTAGTGACTTCCGGATTCAATTATTTCAGAAGCGTCTCGATGAAACCAAGAAAGTGCAGGAGCGTTTGAAGAATTTGGACACAAAGTTGGACCAGGTCAACAAAGAGATGGAGAATGCCTATATAAAGGTATTAATGAAGAGCATACTTTAATATGAACGCCAACTCGCGAATGCATCTGATTGACTGAAGATTTCTCGGTTTCTTGAGGTTTGCAATGTCCCTTTTCGATGAGGTCTCAGTCGATTAAGATACCGAGGCCCACTACTAATGAAAAAATAGTACTGGTCATAAGCAGCTGCGCCTCCTGTCATCCATATTGTAGTGCTTGCCATATTTCCCTACCTGGACCTGTGTCTTGCTGCTTATCCTCAAATTGGAGATCCCACTCTTCTTATAAGTGTTTAAGCGACTAGCAAGCCCCATAAAACTTTCTGTAAGGCCTTCGAAAGGTCTTCGAATTTTGATGCCTTCATCAAAATCTTGATTTTCTTCTGTTAAGATATCAGATGCAACTAAATCTACTATCCACAACTAGTCTGGCACTGTGGATGTACTTCTCATCATATCTGCTCGAGCTTTTCAAGGGAACCTGTTGAAACGTTGTCAATTCGAATCTATGTCCTGAATCTCAGATAAAAGACCAGCTCACAAGAGCTGAAGTCGGTCATCAACACCGCAAGGACGGTACGCCAAGTGCTACGTCTAATTTATCGTACTGCTCAACGGTTTCGGGCAGGGAAAGCAATATTTGTTCCATTAGGTACGAGATTATACATAACAGACATAAGCAAAGTTTGATGTAGGCGGTCTTTCTTTTCAGGCCTTCCTATTCACGCGCAGAAAGAGCGAAGGAGAGCAGTGCTTCGATAGAAGGAAGGCTATTCGAAATGGAACGCGCTTTGAAACGACTCGACAACATCGAAAAATCCCTGGCAAAGTCCGTTCGTTGCAGCATCTTCTATGAAGGACGAAAAGTCCATCAGGATTTTCAGGCTTTCGAAACAACTGGGTGACCCGGTAACAAGAACTTCTTCTGCTGCACCATGCGCACTCAATAGAAATCTCTACGGTTGCCATGAGATAAACGAGATTTTCTCTCAAGTCAGTGCTACAGCCCTTCAAATTTGTAAGAAACTCACGTAGGCGTTCCAGACGCAAACCGAACTGCAACGAGCAAGAACTGCGGTCTCACGAATGCTCACTATGCCGGATGTGTATTCACTGCGCATGAGTGCTGATGGCATTAGGGATCGCGGAGAACTCGACACACTACGACAACTGATAGATCGTTTCCTCGTAAAATTGAAAAACTCAGTGAGTCGATAGGATCTCTTTGAAACAGAAGTTCATGTCTTTTTTCCTGCTGATTTCGCTTCGATACAGAGCAGCGGCCCTTGATCGCGCAAAAAGTGTTACCGTTTCTGTATCAGAAATCTCAGTTCAGATAATTAGAGTTGTCTGCTATTACCATATCCACTGTAAGACTGCTTTGTATCATTTCAATGACTTCAACTCAAGTGTTCAAAACTGGATTCAGAAGTGCCAGCTAGCTTTTATAGTTTGGGTAGAATGAATGGGATGTACAATGACCTCATTCACTCTGCCAAAGCTATTAATAACAGTAATAATAATATCAATACTATGTACTCCTACCACTCATTGGTGAGGGTGGTAGTGGGCTAGTGCCGCACACGCCACTTGCGCACAGTGGAAGTGTAACATCAAAATTCTTACTGAATGACTATCGTAACTTCTGCTACGAATCTTCTACAGTAGTTCCTTACAACCGCGTTCCGTAGTTCCACACCCGTGGCGGGAATTCTGGTGTGTAGCCCGCCACGGGTGCGCTTCGTTGCGCGCGTCCGTCGAAACTAGGTCACGCCGCCGCCGTCGCATGCGTCGGGTTAGCCCGCGATCTTTGAAAAACGTCGCAGTTGTCAGCGGGACATACGAATTGCGCTTGGTATACGACAGTAAGCCAAGGAGAAGATAACAGGAACAGATGCAATCATCCGCTCCATCAACACTTGGTGGTACTGAATTGTCATCTCGAAACCTCAGTGAGATGCGTCGCGCGCGAAATGGGCGGGGTGACCTATTTCCGATGGACGCGCGCAACGGACGTTCTCCGCCCTCCACTATCCATAGAATCACTCCAAAGAAAAGCAGGAAGCTTGAGAAAAGCAACTACGATATACTCCAAACACAAATTGCTTGAGATAATCGTTCGCTAAACGTCTAAACGCCGCTTGCCACTACACCATCGCCAAATTGTGATACTCCTTTCACTTCATGGTCACCGCAGAGCGGAACTCCAAAAGACTCGTTCTTCAAAGATGGTGCAATTTAACGTGACAGTTTTCATAATTTCTATAGCTTTGAAAGTTGGTATTGCTAGAAGCTATAAATGTTACATGTGTCTTTCAATCGTGTCTTGCTCTGATTAAGTGTTCTTTTCAGAAGGATGCCTACGAAAATGCATGTGGCGATGCTGGAAACTGTATAGTGTGCAATATGTGTATGTCGAGTTCCATTTCCCGTTGCTCTCTGTACTAAGGCTCACCTACAGGACAGGACCTTATTGAACAGTTCCAGATATTTCTTCTTCTCCTTATACACATTTCTCTTATTCAATGAAAATTTCAACGATTCTTTACTCATCATTCGTTGTTTTTATTGTCAAATATGGTATGGATTGGTTCGAAAATGACGCATGTACTCGAAATAGAAGAACGACTCTAATGGTATAGTAACTATCAATGGCTGGTTCCATGCGTGATGGCCTTTGGAAGAATATGCTCGGGCTACCGAACAACAATACAGACTCTCCGAAATAAGCTCTTCATAGGTGATGGAAGGGATACTAACTTACAAAAAAAGGGGTGCCGGTGCGGTTTTCACGTATTTTTTAGTGCGTGTGCTGGAGCATTTCGATTCGAAAAGAACTCCATTGTTTGAAGTTAAGGTCACTTCAATGCGTTTTCAACAAAAGAAAACCATTCGGCTTGGCTCTTCAAATGAGAATTAAGCTTTCCCCAGGACGTCGTAAAAATGTCCAGGAAGCGGTCTGAAATGCTTGAAAAAAAGGCACAGCCGAATTGGAGGACTGTTGGTTAGGCGAGGCTTCGTAGTCGAGCTCGTTCGAGTCCTACAAAGAAAGTTATGTATCCTGCGGAAGGTGTATCCGCTTAGCAATGCCGATCGTGTGTTGTCAGTTTGGCTTCATTTTGACCGCTTCCACCATCATTTCAACCGAACAGTCATGCAGTTTCCGCTAACTGGTATGGGCTGACCAGCTGCTTATCGATTATCGGCTACTATATTTGTTTTTCTATCTTGGGACCGTTTTTCGTATAAATCAATCGTCGCATAATCACCGAGCAGAGAGGGTAACACAGATGGTCACATTTTATGAAGTTGGACTTGGACATACTTCGAAGCTAGATAATACAAGCCCATCCCCATCAAATCACTCGCAAAATGCCAGACACCCTCAGAGTAAGCCACCCTACAATAGTTCGCGGAATGAATTTAACCATGGCTATCTTATGCTCTGACACAATAGCAAATAGAACACCGCGCTGATGTGGCAGTTTTTCTACATCTTCAGGCTTGTCCATTGGCGGCACGAGCGCTCACTCTCTAGAGATGAGAAGGGGAATTCTACACCAACGTTCAACGGAGTGCTCTATGTTTGAAAAAAGGTTACAAAAAAAGGTTTCTAAACCTACATCCTCCAAAAAAGCTTATAGTCCTCCCTTGCTGGTGCAGCGCTAACGGCTTTAATTACTGAAAGTCCCTCGACAAAGATGATACAGTGACAGGAACACTATCTAAAATAAGACTAGGTCGGGCTGATGGTAGGCTGGAATTCATCGTTGCCTGAACCCCGAAAAACAAAGAAAACCACTGCCCTTAATCAGTTGGGCTCAAAAATTTCTTCCAGCCGCATGCCACTGGGAAGTAAAGAGAGCGCCTGACAAAATCAAGCGGAAGATTAGATGCAAACACCTTGTCAAAACAAGCACAAAGTTCACATCTCCACCTGAAGTCAAATCTGCACGAAGCGCCAGGATTTTTGATTCGTAATGCGGATACGTCCCTCCGCACGGAAGAATGAACTTCTGGTGTGTCTACGCGAAAGGAAGAAGCACTTTTACAGAACCGTCAATTAAACTAATTTGAACCTAGCAAAGTTATTAGGAGTTATCTGTATTTCACATCGGATGACAACGAAGCAAATGCACTGAAAATGATTTCATTAAATGCAGAAACCCGAATACTGTATAACTGCAAATAATCTGTGCAACTAGTTGCGAGTAGACTACATTGTGATCACATTCCTTTTTACCCGGGCTTAGGGCTAAATAAATGTGCTGGGCATCCGTCAACAACAAAACCACTGTATCTCCCATTGGCCAGATGGCGAAGATCCCTGTTTTCCTGTCCCTGCTCCTTGTTGAAAAAGGCAACGGTCATTTTAACAGTGGCTTCCATGGTTACGTCAGGCTGAAATTATCGCGGCATCGTTGCGACACCCCTTCGATTATCATAAAAACGGACTTACAGGAGTTTCTCCATATAGTTTCATCCGCCTCCCTATATATGAATTGACCAAGAATGGAAAATCAGTGAAGGTTTGATGCTCTGCATCTCTGCAAAAGACTTGAATCAGGATTCATGAAAACAGCCAAGCGCAAGAAGCGATATCTAGATGTAATGATTCTACTAATGGTGCCGTGTGTGGTTTCCCTGAGGGAACACAGTATGCTCCCGAAAGGGTACTTGTAAAAAGTAACCTTGTGCTATATAAAAAATAAATAAAGTAAAAATAAGGGTAAATAGATAAAATAAAAATAATAGTAAAGTAATAGAACAAAGAGACATTGTTTGAAGCAAGAAGAAAATTTGCGAATTGCAATTCCATATCATGTCATGAAAAAAACAGATCACTAAGTACATGCTTTGGGAAAGCAACGCCATATTCGGGTACCTCAACTTATCAACAAAAGGTCTGATGTAGTGCGATAGAAATAATGATGAGAAAATGTCACGAATTATCAATTCAGCACCATTACTTACTCCGTGCAAAGCAATACAGGAAGAATCACCGTACCTAAACGTGTACATAGACATATCCGTGATATTTCGCAGCTTGTGCATTCGTTCGACGTTTTCCATAAACTGCCATCTGCCAGCATTCAAGAATAATGTTGGTTGTGTTGCTCTTTCGTAGTGACCTGGCTCTAAGGGGTACAACCAACCATCCAACACAGCAGCCGCCTGCCATGGCACATTGTCTTGAATATCTACGCTGTGTAACCGATGGGGAAATACCTGAAAATCCGTGGAAAACGCCGTTGCTGCAATGGATGTTGCACCTCCAAACGAATGACCAGCTATGAAAGCTCGTGTGAGATCCATTCTTTTCTGGAAAAGACTCAAAACTATCTTCATCAAACAAAAAACTATCTTCATCAAACAAAGTAGAAATTTTGTTTTGATACCTTGAACATAGACCAATCAAATTCTTTTCCAACTGCAATATTTTCAACTTGTAGTTGACCAAGATTAATCTCTTCGAGTACATGCAACGCCTTCACACATTCAGAAACGCGTTTATTCAACTGAAAAGGAAGCACATTCAGCTAATGTGATATGGTGAGCGAAGAGTTCTACAAAATGTGGTTCCAATCCCGGAAACTATTGGAAAACCAGCCACTTTTACTTTCCTGAGGTATTGAGATATTCATCAAGCACATCCCGTATTGGATGTGATGGTTGAAGCCTTTGTGGTTTGTGGGGAATAGATATTTACTTTAATAGATACTATCAATCAAACCATAACCTTTTCGTCCTACTGGTGAAAGCGTGAAATGATCGGAGATAGCTGCTTTTCTCTCAGTAAAAGTACTCTTACTAGCCAGGAATGCAGAAAGGTGTCTCGCAAGAAAAGTTGAAACGCGATTAAGTAAGAACGCATGCCGCCTTCGGCGATCTGCTTAGAATGCAGCTCCTCTTAGTGCATAAAATTTGCTCCATTACCCAAATTCTTAACCTCGGCCCTTCAGCCCCTTCGTCGTAGCCTGACTGGTAAAAAAGTTCGAGACAGCAAGAGCACTTAGAAAAGCACCTAGGGACCTCCTCAAAACCCAGCCTCCATTTTTAAGGAAATCGAACATCAACAAACTGCCGAGCATTTGCCTTCAACGGTGGCTGGAAATGATGCATACCTATAGTTCGTAAGTATGGTCGTTTTCAAAAAAACTTACAATCAAGAAGCGATGATATAATATAAAATTTAAAAATTTTTGCGAATACTAGTTAATAGGCTTCCTACCTGCTGGTTTCTTATTTTGAACATGCGCCTATCATCTTTCTCCACAATACGTATAGGATAGTGACGTTCTTTCAATCTACCAGACGTAGAGTCAATAAAAAGCTTATATGTCCAGCATGCCGAATAATCACTGAAATTTATGCTTTACTTCACATTTTTACCACAATCACTTCTTGCTCTTTGTTCAAGCCCAAACTATGATACGATTGACTTAAAATGTTTCAACGCTAGTAAGATCGCCTTGCCTGGATTCCCCTCACTCTCTTTAGATAATGTAATACTCCTTCCCTCTCTTTAAGACAAAGTAATAAACCGAGTGGATGAACCGTCATTCCTCTATTCATACCAAATGATGTATTCCTCATAACGAGGCTTTGAAGGGGGATGTCCACGGTAAGTTGGTCACTGCAATTTCGGTAGAGGACTTAAAGACTCCGTTAGCAATAAATTTAGGGTACCCTTTTTTGACGGGAATTGATAGAACTACTCCAGAATAAGGCGATAACGAAAAAAGCGCAAAAAAAATGAACAAAAAGAATCACAAAGGGTCAAAAAAAGAGCTGGAAAGGGGGGTTGGACGAGTTTCACATTGAAAGAACGGCGGTTAGGGAGTGTTCGGGCGAGTGCACGAAGGCGACGCAATGTGTTGTCTGCAACAGCAGACAACACATTGCGTCTCTGGCAATTTGCCAACCAGCTTACCGACTTTTCACCAACTTTGCTCCAATGTGAAAGTGGTGAACGGCAATTAGATTTCGTAGTCAGCCTAGCGAGGGGCGGAGGGCGACCGTGGCTCACTCTCCGGCCCCTTATTGTGCCCTATCCAGCCGTTTTCCGACCTCATTCCTGCACAAATGGTATCAGGAGGGCGTCGAATTCAAACCATGTGCAAATCTCCGAAACCATTTTTTCGTGAACAGTGAGTGCCTTTAACATGACACAGTCTCTTTCAAGCCTGTTACCACCGCACTCAACCACGCGATGCTACAATTGAACTGGGACGGCAGAGGCGTCAACATTGAGGGCAAGAAAGATGCAGACGATATCGTCCTCATCAATTAAAGTCGAAAAGAGCTACAGCAGATGGTAGAGGAGTTCGACGACGTCGGTAGAGCCACTGTGGGTACGATTCGGACTTAACAACAAGACGAAGCACCAGTTCACAAAGAAAAGACTTAAGTGTGGTGCTGGAAAACTGTTCCCGATTTAACCCCTGGTTTCAATTGCCCTACGAATCTCCTCGACGGCAACCCAATGGACTCATGCGTAGGGTTCATTCCGGAGAGGGAAACATGCGCTTGAAAACGCCTCACAATGGCTTTCTTTATAAATCGCGAAAGAAAGTATGGCTATGCGTGAACCTGTGACGGCTGTCCAAATCCTTGTCGGACCATAATTCGAACAGGAGAGAATTATGTCGAGTGATCGCACTTTCGTTTTGTTGATGCGATGCATAGTAAATATTTCACATGTATTCGTCATATATCGATATGATACATATCACTTCGATACACTGCAGCAAGTCTTTACTACTGGCAAAATCCTATGTGTAGTCACCATTAAACGAAAAAGGAATGCCAGCAGCAAAGAATTCAAGAGGAAATGCAAGAAAAAGGCCGAGTTATGCGGACGTCAGAGGTATTGGCATACCAGTAACGGCCAGGCGTTTGGACACCTCCACCGAAACTTTAATGACTAGTTTAAGTGGATAGGCACAGAACTATTCAAACAAAGCTGGGCTTTAATTTTCAGTTTCGTTTTGAACTCGAAAGGCAAACTTCTGCAGCACCAAACACCGGAGGCGGACAGAGCATAAATTTGGACAGCACTCACCTGTGTTCGATGGCTGCGACAACGAAACCATTCGAAGCTAACGAGGCACAAAAAGTAGAATAAAAGTGACGACATCCTGATAGACCGTGGGAAAATATGACGACAGGGAAACATACATTCTGGGACTGATTGGAGTCGCTTGTCGGTGAGCTACATGCACCCGCAAGTTGGCGCTGCCAAGTTGGTGCTATCCTGAAAAGTGGTAATACACATCTGCAGCGGCAAAATGTTTACGAAAATCCCCGATTAATTACAGGTCATTTTCCTTTGTCTACACAAGAGCATTTCGCATGCTCTACTTAAATGGGCTGTACTAGCATAGTTGCATATGTGGACAATATTGTCCTTGCTGACCAACAAAAGTGCGTATATTGGGACGAATAAATGAACCCCTATGCAAGCAACTGACGTGGCAACTTATTTCAGCTCGGTGATCAGGTCAGGGTCTAGGCGGAGTTCAGGAACTGCTAACATGGGAAGGATACTAGGTCGCAGTGGCCATCCAAAATAGGATGAGACGTATGAATTTTAAGCGCTGATCTCATATCTGTATTCCAAAACTGCAAAATGATTCTGGTAGCAGAAACGGACGCATTTCAACCGCAAGAGGATTGCGATCGAACACCTAAGCATCTCAAATGAGTGGGCCTGTCGTGAAGCAGCAACAGCATTTTCGAAGGGAATATGCATTTGATGGGCCACTGCAAAGCACACTAGGAAATCCCCAGCGTCTCATCACATTCTTTTCTGTGAAGAAAACAAAAAGTATTAGGCTTATAACATTCAGAACTTAACATCTGGCGTAACTGCTTCACCCAGAACATATAGCTGATCCTTTCTGGGCCACTGGTCATAGCGGTGAAGAGCGCGCCACCTCATCGAGAGAGAGAGAGAGAGAGAGAGAGAGAGAGAGAGAGAGAGAGATTCCGGAGCTAGCACCACTATGGTACAGATGTAACGACCATAGCGTTTCACACTCCGTATTTTAGGAATTTGAGTTAAATTGTGAGAAATCGTAGTTTCCGAAACCAATCCCTCTTGATACCCTTGCAATACTGTTGGGAAGAACGGCCATAGTGATGAGTGGAAAGGGCTTCTATCCATGCTTAGTTCACCAAATGAAAACTCTTCGCCCTGGATGATATGTACATGGATGTCATATATTGCCATGAAATGTGCAAGAGTGTTGCATAAGCCCTCTATTCGAGTAATAGAGTAGCCAGGTCAGTGGTATCAGCATCATTAGATGCGAATTTTATTAAAGGCACTGTTCGCGATTATTCAATGGGCGGGTGTGTCGATGACGTGTCCGCCTCTCATTCGATATCAAGTCAGACAGTCTGACGTGGCATCGAATGAAAGGCGGACACGTCATCGACACACCCGCCCATTGAATTATCGCGAACAGTGCCTTTAAAAAGGCGTCCATAATGTATCATTAATCCCTTCCACAAAAGATGCAAGAAGCAAAGGGAGATTTCATAGCCTAGCACCACGCGTTTGGGCTACGGCACATCCCTTCTGCTTTGCAAGACTTTCCCAAACATTTTATATGAAAGCAAGACAAGTTGTTGCTTCACGGACGCGACCTCGTGGCTATCCCATGCTCTACCTGGGGCACCTGTTGCTTCGTAGATGACACAGCGACTCGACTATGTCCGTCCGGCGTCTGACTGAACCATTTCACGAAGACAACTTTGTTGCCGGTTTGGAATAAAGAACTGATTTCAGCATTAGTTAAGGTATACGTTGGTATACGTCTGTTTTTGAATGTCCCTCACACTCTTCGCATGGTCAGTCGATCAAACTCCGTATCTACACCACGCAAACCGTGCCTTCTATGGCCCGCGAGCGAGCGATCGACCGATAGGGGCGGCGCTTGGCCCTTGTTTACAACTGAATCTTGGTCGATACCGCGGGTAGGCACCGCGCCAATCGCTCGGTCGCTCGCTCGCGGGCCAAATCGTGGACTATGAAAGCAGCCTACCCCTCCGCGATTGATTATTTAGTCCCAGGCTCGTGTAGGATGAGAAAAGCACCAATTGGAACGAGGTTTCCTGGGCCGTGAATGTGGCAACAGCATCTCTACCATTGACAAAAAGAAAGAAGTCAGAGAACATTGAATCAATATACTCGCTACGAAAACTAGTGTGGCAATTACTGCCGTAGCCTCATATGTAGGTTACGATTGTTCTCGCACCACTAGGTAAGACTGGTTTTCAGATTCGCAGTAACGAAAAAACAAGGAAATGAAAGTTGTCTGGCAACGTGTACTTCCAAGCCTATATGGCATAGTACAACACCAAAAAAAAATGTCACGATGACGTGGTTCATTTTCCGTGGCCACTGATACCAACATGGTTTTATACTCCACGAAAACAGTCTTACCCTTTGAATACACCATGTTTACCTGAAATACCTGAGTAAAAAGGATATCTTCATCACACACCTCGTTTCGCCAATGATCCAGTTAAAGACGAACTGTAATTTTCCAGCAGATTGCTTCATATAAGCGGCAAGACCATCCACGTATTCCGGTCGACTCAACCACAGCGGATGTTCGGAAGCTATCGACACCTGGGATCCATCCTGTATGGCAAAAAAAAGTATCGGTTGATCAGTCATAAACGGATAGATATACGTTTCGATATTCCTCTATCACGAGTATAACATTGAGAACAACTCTGATACGCTTCCTCGAAAGGGAGAGACATATGCACCTGGAAGCCTTTTGGTTTCCAAACATGGTTAATATTTCCCATTCAGGCGAACTTTTACTTACGAAATAAAAAAAAACTAAAAGCGTTGAACCAATTATTTTAAGGTTAAGGTCCCCTTCCCGCACACTCCCTGCAGCCTAATTTAACTCTCAGAAGGTCATAATTTGAAATGTCAAATGATGCAAACATTGCACACACAACTTTTCTGAATATGAAGGAAAGATTCACACAGCTAAAGAAAACTCATGATGGCCTACTAACCATTCCAGGCGCATGACATGCGCTCAGTTTCCTCATACGTTCAGAGACATTTGACGATCCCCTAGAGTTAGTGAAGCAGTTATACGATCCGATGGCTGCTTTCAGACTTCAACGACGCAACCAACGATCATCCGTCCGTCTGTGCGTCCGACTGACCGAAAGACCGATGGTGTTGCTAGCTATGTGTTGACAACACTGGACGTCGATGGATGACATGCCAGTCGGTCGGCCGCACGCACCGATGGACGGGAGAAGGTTGCGCCGTTGAAATCTGACAGCAGCTAAGCTGTTGGAAAATAACCCTCGAGGCATTTCACAAAGAAAATCCGAAAACAATAAAATATCTATGATAACAGGGGTAATACCGTACATTTTTATCGGTTGGATAGTAGATACGCATGAATACACCCGCATCTCCATCCTTGGCATCAGCGATCATTAGGTCCGCGCATGCCGTATCGTAATCGCCTGCACCGGGAAGGGGTAGCAGCGAGTATCGACCTGTGTAGGACCATACCGCACCCATTGAGCATCTGTCCTGAAAGGAAAACTGCATAAATACGATAAACTAGCAGAAAATGGCTGAAGCTTACAGCTAGATCAAAAATCATATGAGCAGATCAAAACGTTCTACCAACGACTTGAATAAATTAAACAACCCCCACAAAGCGACTAAATAGTATTGATAGAAATTGTACGCGGTAGCCGGTTTCTAGCACCGCCTTTTTTCAGCAATTTCTGCGCCGCCCTAGCGACAACGTACCAAACTGCTGGGTAATGCTAAAACAACAAAGATCAGACCGCACTATCAGCAACGAGGACGTTTTCCATTAAAAAACAGTGACATTTACGCGATACGACTCAAATACATATAAAGGCAATGATAAGTAAAAAGAGAATACTAAATGGGCAGGATAGGAAAGGAAGCAATTTTGGAAAAGTAGTAACTGATGTGCTTCACTGGCTAACGGACATCGAAATGAAGTTCTCCATAAGTGAATCATAAATAAAAGTTCAATAAAAGAACCAGACCACAAGCTTTTAGCAAAAAATGTTGTGAAGGGTATCCGTGGAACATTCAGAAAACCTTAACATCATCGAAATTTCAACACAACGCTGCCTCCAAAGGTTACGAAATGGCACGAATGCGCTTTTAAGCGTCATCACAAGTCTCACACCCACATATATGAGTAATAAATAGATTAAAATATGAAATGAACCTGTCTTCCTCCGATTTGGAAGTATACTTTGAAGTGAGAATATGGGTCAAGCTAGTCCAGTAAAGAAGCGAAGTGGACTGGAAAGGCAACAATACTTGGCAACAGAGTACTATCGTGCAGAAATTCAATCGGCCTACCTCGGCCAATTTCGAAATGTACCTCGAGACCCGTACGTAGTAAACAGTTAGTCACAAGTTGACACTCAGCCATCAGCACCTCAGCGACCTGTGCATAACATCAGGATCCACAACTCATGATAGACGTTGACAAAGCAGAGTGAGTGCAACTGCAGACAAGGACTTTTCTGTTCGTGGCGACTACGAACGCACAACTGAAGGGTAGTAGATGAGTTTAGTCGGCTGATCCTACAAATCTACTCTACTTCAAATTAGCATCAATAGGCGCTAAAGTCCTCACAATCGCTCTGGATTTCGCCGCGCGCAGCTCGTATCGCACGGGGGACAGGCGATTCGTGCGATTCTGGGTGCGCGCGGCGAAGTTCGGGGCGATTCGAACGGCCCTGGCGCCTATAGTTTCGGTACAATCTTGAAGTAGAGTAGTTTAGTAGGGTCAGAAGATCCTTCTGCTTTACTCCACTTTAAGGCCGCAGCCGTCCAAATCGCCACGAAGTTTGACTAAAACGAAAATTCAGTCCGGCACTCGGCTTTCACAGTAACCCCCTGGCTTACCCCACCACCCATCCCCGTGTCCTTGCCCAAAGCCCCTTTTCGACGCGTCTTATATATGACGGGTAAAAATTTGCGTGTTAACACGTGCCGGATTACTGTAAGAACCGAGTGCCGAACTGAATTTTCGTTCCTGTCGAAGTTTGCCGCGCGTACCCAGANTCGTACGAATCTCTACAAACCCCGAATCGCACGGATGTATTTCGCAATAACACGTTGACGACAACGCACGTTTGGACATTTTTGGCCGTGTGGGACCGCCCCAATTTTGCGGATGCAGCGACCGCGGGACACGTATGTCCCGCGCTGTCCCTTGAGGCGCGCTTTTTGAACTTGAGAGTGAAACCTACTCCTAGCTACTTATCGAAGGCGACCACTCGGTAAGTTGATTAATAAAATGAATAATACACAAAAGTGTCTTAACAAACGCTTATACAGACATAAAAATGGCTGGAATAGAAGAAAACGTGGAAGATACTTTACAACTCCACCATCTACTGATAGTTTCGGACGACGAAGAGCAAGGAACTTGAAGAAGAAGTAGATGATCTGGAAGAAGCTACGGAATCTGAATCAGAAGAAGAACAGTCTAATAGTGAAAGCCTTCATCGTGGTCAAGCGATGCTTCGCCGCTCGATGCTTGGAATTTTAGGAGTGTCTCCGGCTTACATGATGCTGTTTATGACTGTCAAGAGCCAATAGACTTCTACGACTGTTTCTGAATCAAGAGATTATGGACCTCATCGTCAGAAAAAGCAACCGCTACAGGATTCAACAAAATGAAGAATTTCAAAAAACGAGCGGTGATGAAATGAGAAAATCAGTTGGCTTGTGCTTGGAGAAGGGTCTGGTAAAGATGCCAAATTGACGCGATTATTGGAGCTCACGACCTTGCCTCGCTGGCCAAGCTGGCAAGATCATGAAAAGAACCAGGTTCGAAGAGTTGTCGAAGTATCTACATCTAGCAGACAACGATACCATTGACGGCGACCGACTACACAAAATCAGGAGGTTTGTGGAAATGTTCAACAAAGCTGCGGCTGAATGTTATTCTCCTGAAAGAGAACTCTGCATCGATGAATCGCTTGTTCCATTTCAAGGATGGATTGTTTTCAGACAATACTTATCGGCTAAGGTCAGATATGCTATAAACAGAGGCAAATGGCATTTTGGTGCTCAAATGGAGAGACAAGAGGGACTCGTACATGATCTCCACAAAACACGACGCTGCGATCGGATCGTCAAAGAAGCCAACGGTTGTAGGGAATTACAACGAAATGAAATCTTTTGTTGACGTGTCCGACACATGGCAGCATATACTCCATTTGCACGTAAGACAACAAAATGGTACAAAGGGTTTTTTCACTTGATGACACAAACAGCAATTGTGAATGCATGGAAACTGTACAGGGACGTAATCAGGAATGTTCGACTAAATGACTTCAGAATTGATGCGATCGCTTCATTACTGTGTCAAGTACGAGAGTATACACCAGCTCGTCAACTCCAATCAACGAGGCATGCACTGGAGGGGGTGCCGTTCCCAATGGCTCTCAGCAGAAGAAAATGTTCAGGATGTTACGCTGACGTCGGAAGGACAGGGACGATCGGCTGCCACAAATAGAGCAAGGACGGTGAACATTCGTTGTAGTAGATGCAAGAAGTTCTTCTGTGTCAATTGCTTCAATAAAAATCACAAATCATGTCAGAACTAGAATAGGTAGAATAATTGGAACTGCAACTCCTTCACGCTGTTTAAACCTAAATTCAATAGCTTGCTCTCAATGTTTTCGATTTAATTGTTTGTTGATCTCAATAAAAATGTCGAAGTTAGAGGCAGGCCATAAAATTTTGTCAGGCTTAGAAAACCTGTGTGAACATGAAGCATATCTGACCATTTTATGGACCATTCTGTTCATAGCTTTGCTATTGTCTTATCTGTAACATAAGTACAAAAAACATATTAAAAAATCACGCACAAGCAAAAAAAATTTTCGAAATAGGCGCGGGACACATGTGTCCCGCGTTGTTCCACGTGGGCTGCAAGACGGGGGACATATATATATATGTGTCCCGCGCTGTCGTCAACGTGTTAAAATAGGGTTGTGCCATGCCGAATTACTGTAGGAGCCGAGTGCCGTACTGGATTTCGTTTTGTGTAGTTCTCCCCTGTGTGGTTCCCCTTACTTCCCTGACAGACGTTCTCAAAGGGGGTAAAAAGGATCCATGGAAGGCAGGATCACTGCAACAGCTTTATATTTCGCACCGATACTGTAGCTTTGGTACACTGGTGAGTTTGCGGTGTACGTCGCCGTCGATCGTGGTTGAGTGTGCTTTCATGACTCCGTTGAGAACTGAACAAGGAAACCAACAATAAAATGTAGGTGGGGATCCACTCCACTCATGAATACGGGTCCACTCTTAAGAAACTCCCGTTTCTGTTCTTCCATTAGGGGAAATTGTGATGCGGGGTCATACAGGAGTTTGCTCGGCGTCGTGTAATTATGCCTCGTGCTACTCGTCTCTCTAACCGGGAAAAAGTTCAAGACAGAGCACTGTTGGATGTCCGAGAAGGAGGTTCGCTGCCCATATCGGCCAGTCACGCAACTGCATAAACGAATACCTGCGGAGTCCTAATAAGTGCGGGAAGAAGAACAGTCCAGGTCGACCACGGCTGCTTTCTGCCCGAGATGAAAGAGCAGTTGGACGTGTTTTGTCAGATTCAGCGAAGAGCCTGAACAGGGTCCGCGCTGAAATGCGGCTTCGTGTGAGCAAAACCACTATCTGGAAGGTAACCCAGCGGAGTGAAAGCATCACCTGAGAGTTGATAAGGCGGGTCCCAAGACTGTCGGAACAACACAAAGTCGCACGTCTCCAATTCGCCGTGAAAATGCCTCATTTGTTTGGGCGAAGGTGCGGCTATTACGACACATTGCAGTCTTTGACCCCATATCTTTATTTTACGTTTTAGGTAATCTGGAGCGACGAAAAGAAGTTCAATTAATACGGATTTGACAGTAGATGAGGGTATTGGAGGGACCTGCGCAAAGCACTCTTGGTTTTGGAACGAGGTAATTTCGGTGGAGGATCTCTCATGGTTTGGAGCGCCTTTTGTGCGGCTGGACAGCTTGGACTTGCTTTTGTTTCCTGTCATATGGATTCCGTAGAATACCAGAGAGTGCTGCAGGAGCGACTTTTACCATTTCTTCGACAACACCGTCGTCGTTCATTAATTTTTATGCACGATAACGCCGCTGTCCATGTTAGTCGTTCCACTTCGGATTAGATTGCAAGTAGAAATATCACAGTTCTCGAGTGATCTGCATGTTCTCCAGAAATAAATCCAGTGGAGAATGTCTGGGCCTTCATTGTCAAGAAGATCTACAACCAAGCAAAGCCGTACAACACAGTCGAAGAGCGCAAACTGTCCATCCTCGACGCTTGGACAAAGGATCTCAGTTTGATAGCTAGCTTGGTTGAGAGCATGCCAAGAGGCATTGGTGAAGTCCTGGCGAATAATGGACGACCAACTCATCATTAAGGAGTTGTAACATCCACTCTGTTGTAATAATTTTTTTAAAGAATGTGTAGTCGTATTCATGAAAAGGTAAGAATACCTT